GGGGGGGGGGGTGGGGGGGGGGGGGGGGGGGGGGGGGGGGGGGGGGGGGGGGGGGTCCAATGCGCAGGTGAAGAGCATGCTGCTCACGGTCGTCATCAGTGTCCCGGTGTTAAGCTGCGTGCTGAAGATCATCGAGCTCGGGGGCAAGCATTTTTACGTCTACGTGTGGGCCTTCATGTTCTGTTTCTCCATCCTCATGCTCACGATTGTGCCCACAGTCATCATGCCGATGTTCAACACCTACTCTCCCCTTGAGGTGATGTGCGGACGTATGTGTTGTAATGTGAACGTCGGCCTAGCGTTGCCGTGTTGAAATATCTAGGCACATGATGAATGCAAAGCTAACCTAGCCAAGTGCCACATGTCTAAGTTAAGGAACTTCTGCCTGGCAATACTACGGAACTGTACAGCGTTGCACTGGATTCCGAAGGCACGCTTGGGTGCCTCACAAACAAGTGTCCCGATACTGGTGGGTTGTTTACCGTTACTTGTTTCCCCCATTCTGTTGCGAGGCTGTTTCACAACTTCATGCTTCGCTGATGTGCGTTCTGCTTTCTCGTATTATATCGTGCTGATAACCAGGACGGAGAGCTGAAATCTAGCATCGAAAACCTCGCTAAAAGGGTTTCATTTCCCCTCACGAACCTCTTCTCGGTGGACGGCTCTAAGCGTTCGGCGCACAGCAACGCTTACTTCTACGGGTGAGCAGAAAACCTGTGGCCTCGCTCGGCAGAGGCAACATTGAAACAAACACACAGAGCGAGTCTAGTATTGCTAGACATCCTCGGACGTTATCATGGATCTGCTTCAGTCCGTGGTGGTTTCAAGATCGACGCGTCTTCACTGGCGAACCAACTAACCGGACGATCCGATGCCTCTCCGCATCCGCGTTTTTCGATTCCAGATTCTTCAAGAACAAAAGGATTGTGCTTTACGACACCCTCATCAAGCAGGTGGGCCGCCTGCTACAAGCACCGTTTTCGATAGCACCAGCTGTTGGAATGCATAGGATGATTGCGTGTCGTTGTCGTTGGCCAGAAATCGATACATCTCTCCCGCTGGTTGTCGAGGGAACGGACAACCGGGTCACTCCTGAACTTGTTGTGAGAGATTGCCGTAGCTCCCGTCGCCGGCATCTCCGGCATCTACCATGCTTTTTTTTCTCCGGCATGACAACTTTGATGGAAAACGATTCGACTTCTGTGTCCTGGCAGGAAGAAGATCGACAACGAACCCAATCCATATCCCTCCGACGAGATAGATGCAGGTTCGAAGTCGAAAATCGCTGACACGGGCTCCGCGAAGAGGGAGGACGAAAAAATGTGTTGTTGTATCGTTCTATCGAATAGTATGCAACTCACGAGCTCCAATTCAGTCACTTGACAGTGTCGCCATCCCCACTCCGGTTGCTTGGCGTCGATCGACCGCGGCCCGCTTTTTTTTCCTTGTGCTCACCGTAAGGAAGGCCGATACGAACGAGATCGTGTCGATCTTGGGCCATGAGCTTGGCCACTGGAAGATGTCTCACACGGTGCAGGGATTCGTCATCTCTCAGACGTACCTATTGGCGTCGTTTTGCGCTTTCGGGCTAGCCACGGAACTGGGCGAGAGCCTACGCCTTTCGTTCGG